TCAAATAAGTTAAAAATCCAGCTCAAATGTCAAATCTCTAGCCATAAAAGCATGACATGGCAATATTTTGCCATCCAAGCAGGGAGGCAAGCAAGTCCCAAACAGCAGTTAAGCCAGGCGAGCGAGTCTCAAACGGCGGTTAAGTTGGCGTAAGAAGAAGGGCTTAATTGCCTTGATCGCAGAGTTCAAGGGTTTATATGCATCAATTAAAGTTTAAGGGCTTAATAGAAATTCTGGGGTTAGTTCAGGGGCTTAACTTATGGTTTTGCCTATTTTTAATAGTTACTTTTCCTTAATTACATACGATAATGTAATGAATTCGGAATTTACATTATTTTATGATTGTCTCGTACAGGGGAAGCAGACATGAACACGAAGCGACCTGCTGGCAACAGAGTACAGCTCAGATTTACAACAGGTACTAGAATTACAACAACATTTCTTTCTAATCAATTCATGTTAAGATGCTAATTATTTATGCTTTTATTAAAATTACTAACTTTGAAATGGAAGATTGAACTCTTAATATAGAAGATATAACTAGTAAATACCATTTTTATAGAAAGAAATAGTTTCCTGTTTTCTATTTTGGTTAAAAAATTTTGATCTCTCAACTTTAATAAAAAAAATTTTTAGTTTCTTTACTTAAAAAAACATCTTTTTCATCCTTAAAGATTAAAATTTAATCCTTTTTAATTCTTTCATTATCTTTTTGTACAAATATCATGTTAGATAATGAAAATTCTAAACAAGAAAGATTAAAAAAAAAAGCTTTTTTAAAAATAGAGAGATAAAAAAGAAACTTTTTAAAAGTGAACTTTTAAAAAGGGAATTTTTAAAAGTAAATTAAGAGACCAAAAATGGGCTTTGTTTAGTCCCTTTTAAATTTTTGTACTTTAAAATTTTCATTATTTAACGTGCTACATGTGCAAAAGTAATAGAGACTAAAAACGGGGTTAGATTTTAAATTTTAGGAATCAAAAATGAATTTTTTTAAAGTAAAGAGACTAAAAAAAAAACTTTTGGTTAAAGTAGTAGAAGCACAAAAATGAGATTTTAACCTTCTATTTTTGAGAATTATTTTCTACCGTTTCATTATATTAGATTGTAAAATAAAAATTATTAGATATAAAATTTAAATTATAAAAATTTATCTTTATTTTTTAAAATTAAATTGATTAAATTTGTACTTTCATATCCTTTTCCACATCTACCATTAAGATAATTTTTTATGAATCAATACATTTAAAATGACTAATTATCAAAAAAAAATCTAAGATACAAATATATACACAGTTAATTATTATTATAAAAAATTTTAATAAATACAAATTTTAAAAAACATACAGATTAATTGTGCAAAGTGCGAATTGAAATCTAGTTTATTTAATATTTATTGAACATTTTAAAAGGTTCATTAAATATTTATTTAAGATTTATTACAAATTTTAATAATTTTTGTAATATAATAAAATTAACTATGGTGCATTTTATTTAACTAGGGCATCACTTACACATTGTATATATATGGAGGCTTATTGAATAAACGTTTGTTTAGCCTCTTTTGCACGTCTAATT